CCAGCAGTGTTCTCTGGCTTGGTTCCGGTTCACTACAGAACGCACCATAATTAAAATTTGATTCAAGTTGGAGACAAATCAAGAACAAAAGGAAAGAAGGAACGTGGGATGCCATGAGCGTACTCAACAATAGCAATGCTGGATTTTGGCACGCCATTTAACTGCCCTTGGAGCACACACGTCGGAGCAAAGTTTTTATAGAGTGTAAGCGAGCAATGGCCACGACAATGCACGATCTAGGATTATTATGATTCAAGAGCATGGGACCCCCTCATCACCAATGTCATTAAAATGCCCTTTGCGGGCAAATATGTTGAGCCGAATTTCACTACGCCATAAACAGAATTCACTGCAATATTTAATGTGTCAAGACAAAATGGAATATGGCGCTGGTCAATTTTTGGACATGTGGAGTTATTAGTATGATCTTACAGCATGTTTAGCTTTAGATGAAAAATTACCCATCTATCTAGAGTAGAAGTCGAGATATTTGCAATTGTAGTTGATGGGTCATCTGGTGTCAGAGATAAAACTGTCGAGAATATAACCGCTAAATTCTTCGTATCGTGATTCTTGGAATCTGCAAATTTACGTTTTTTGTGTTTTTGTTCAACGTTTTTCAGTAAAACCTACGCAGAAAGTGTTTTTTAATGGACTTTCACGATACAAATTATCCAAGCCGAGGACAAAATGCTAGTAACTTTGATTTCATTATTTTAAATAGCACCTCATTTCACTCACAAATGGCGGGTAAGCCTTTGGCTCAGTTCATTAGATGTGCTCTAAATTGGATAACCCTGTTCGAATCCCCATCTTTGATCGTTTGGATATGTTAGTCTTTACCGGCTGGATCTTATGGGAAACGGTTTGTTTAAATTTGGTGAGCTCACTTCTAAAACATTTCTACACTTTAAAAGGAACATTTAACTCAGATCACTACCAATAGCAAACAAATCACCAGACATACTGACTTTTCACGGCAGATTTCCGCTTTCTAAAATTTCATCCGTGGTAGCGTTCATATTCGATATTCAGCTCATTAATTGCTGATCAGACCAGATTTATTTGAGTTAAGAGGCAGGTTTCCGACCTTACTAGTCAGGGTCAACAGAGGGTTCAGAGGGATACAATATCTCAGCAAAAAGACCAAACATGATAAAAAATAATCACCACACACGGAAATCGAACTTGGGTCTCCTGGGTGTGACATAGATGCGGCTAAAGAGGAATGTGACTTGCCTGAAACGTTCAGCTGAACTTTCTTAAATGACGAAGCTCCTCTATGAGTTTTTGGGTTTTTTCGTGATCTTAAAAAGAATAGGGTCCCTCAAAACTTTACAAGCTCATTTTTTTTAATGCGAGGAAGACTAACTCACCTGTGTTCATGCACAGGACAAATGCGGCCAGCGCAAAGCCTGTGAGATTAAAGCACCGCATTCTTTCACCTGTAGAGAAATAAGAAATAAAGGTTGACCTTGTGTGTGTGCGTGTTAGATTGTGTGTATGTGTGTATGTGTGCGTGCGTACATGTGTGTGTGTGTGTGTGTGTTTGTGTGAGTGCCTATTTGTGGCTTGATGAGAGAGAGAGAGAGAGAGAGAGAGAGAGAGAGAGAGAGAGAGAGAGAGAGAGAGAGAGAGAGAGAGAGAGAGAGTGTTTTTAGTGGTTTGTTCGTATGTCTAAAAAAATCCAAAGAAACCAACAAACAAACCCTAAGGTATATTTATTGCGTACCCATTAAACAAATCGAGCAAACGCTTACAAAAAGCACGTGACGGGTACCAACAATTGTTTGAATCAAGTTTGATAGAATTTTAGCTATGACCGGCTATTAGGGGCCATAGCACTGAAAGATAAAAGAGAGTGTGAAAGCCGTCAGTCGTGTCCTGGATTTTAAGAATTCACGTTGTTCACACACACACACACACACACAAACACACACACAAACACACACACACACACACATACACACATACACACACACACACACACACACATTCATATACACTCATACACACACACACACACGCGCGCACTCGCGCACACACACACACACACA